GGTACAAACATTAATTTTCGTAAGATGACCGTACTCGTCTTAGTCACCTCCTCGGGCACCTTCTCCCGACACTCCCGTTCCACCTCCTCCGTAAGTCGATTGAATCCGCCGCCGGCCAATTCCCCGCTGCGCAGCTTCTCCGCGCACGTATTCCTCGTGTTCTCGTACCAGCCGGACTCCCTCAGGAGGTCCAGGAAGAGCGCTTCTAGGCTACGGAAACCGTTAGCGGGGGGTGGGTGGGGGGAGCGAGGGAGGTGGAAGGAGGGGTAAAAGAAGGGAAAACGAAAAGGTTTAACCGTTCAAGCTCCCCGGATTCTAGAAGGCGGCGGTTCACCTCCGCGCGTAAGGTAGTGTCCTGGGACATCTTGGCGGGGTTTTTTTTGGGCGTGGTGGCGATTTGGGGGGGGGAGGGGTTTGGTATGGTATGGTTATGATAAAACTTGCGTTTGTTCGTGGGGTGGTGTGGGGTTGGTGGGTTGTAAAATTTGTTTATAGTACCGGTACACGTAAAACAGGTGGAGGCAAAAGGAGGGAAGGGTTTTGGCGTTTTTTTGGCGTTGGGTTGCGCTTGGTGCGTCTGTTACCCCGATCGGGTAAGACAGACGCGTTGTCATAAGGACTCACTCGCAATGATCTTAGATGATGTTCCGGACAGCCCCAAAGCAGCATATTGAAGCCGTAAACAGACTCTTGGAGCCAGGTTTGGCTCCGTGACCAGACATTCTGTAACCCCTTGGGAGACATCTTTTCACCAAGTAGAAGAACCTTGCAAACCCCACAAAGGGCAGCTTTTCACACACCAAGCCAACTTAAAATACCTGAAGTTGATATACTCTATGATGCTTCAGACTCAGACATCAGCAAGATCTCACTAATTCCAATACCATGTAATCTTCTTCACAAAGCTAACAGAATCTAAAAAAAGAAAGCATATTTTTGACCAATTTAGGCACCCCCATAAAACCTATAAAACCTATATTATTATTTTTACAACAAGACTGAGTATATTTATGTCAAGTTAAATACTAAAATCCAATCAAAGTCGTAATAATATGTATTTTTGGACAAAGCGGCTATAGAATATTTTTACCAAGTTAGGCATGGTATCCGGAAGGGTTTATTGTGGAGCCCATGGTATTCAAAAGGGTTTCTGTTAGGAATACCGGGATCTGATACCTAGGAATCACTCTAAGTAGGGTAACCTCACCTAGAATTGGAATTCCTAGTCTCCAATACCCTGCTCCAGCCCCGTTATAGGACCCACATGTCATCATACATATCGATCTCAGTTGCATCCTGTGATTATAATGCTACAGAATTGAAGGAGTCAGAATAATACAATATATGTCACCGCTGTCCATCCGACCGGATCCTGTTCACAGGATTTATGAGAGGGGACCTATGGCTAGGTCTGAAAAGTAGAACGGAGTAAGTCAGTCAACTACCTAGGGAGGTATCAGGCTTCAAAGATGTAACATCTTTGGCTTGGGCTGTAGGTAATGGGACGTTTTCGTACAAAGAGATGATATCGAATGGTAAAGGATCTCAGTGAGAGACCAATACATTTACATCCACCCTACAATATTCAGAAGAGTCTAGAACTCTAAGGGATACTACCATAGAAGCCATTAGACTTCAAGGAGTATTGCAACTAGGTTTCAGAATATATTGTAGTTACACGGATAAATTCCAATACTATAACAGTGATTGAAATCCTGTTATCCAGAGCAATTAAGAGTTGGCAACTGAGGAAATATTGGTCAATCTGGTGGAATAGCTTTCTGTAAATCAGTAGGAAGTCCTCCGGAAGACATCTATGGGTTGGATAAGAAGATATGAAGGTTTAAAGTTAGGCGACCTAAAAAAGTTGTGATTACGACTACCTTCACAGATGCAACCCGCAGATGAAACTGGTCATTTCATCAATGATGAAGACAATTGAGGCCAACTTAGTTCGACTTGAAAACTAGGCCACAAGTCTAAAAACTCTAATGATCAGATAACTACTATTGGGAACAGTATGGTTCTAAGTTAGTTATATTGTAATCACCAAGGAGGGTGTGGTGATTTTCAGAGACTCCAAGTATTCACACCTTTTAAGAATACCCAACATTGCAAGTTATAATCAGAGAGGTACATAGTTGTATAATAAATAGCTGTAGTCTGTGAACACTCAGATACAGAATATAAATATCGAAATGCCTTACAAGCTTTAAACATCATCAAGCAATAGAGAAGAGACCTTAACAATATAATATAGTTTCATGATTTTATCTTACTTTACCGAATTTACTTCACTCTTAGTAGTCATAAACGAAATGAGTAAACTTGAGCCTTCCTAAGCCATTTCCGTCTACAGAAATGAATCTTGATTGGCCCAAACAATTCTGAAGTATATCAGATCATCTCTGTTTAACCGGAATATAGTAGGAGTGGTCAGATAACAAGGGTAGGCATCAGGAAGAAGGAGCCGAGCAGGACGAGCTGGGTGGACAGTTTCCGTCCAGACGTGGGCCTATTTTGTCAGACGCAAACAGCATTTTTGCTAATATTGGTACTTCTGACTCTGTTATTGACTTGCACAGTACCTCTGTACTGTACAGTATGATATTACAAATGTCCTGTCTGTTAGGAATACCAGGATCTAATACTTAGAAACTACTCTAAATAAGGTAACCCCACTCGGAATTGGAATCTCTGGTCTCCAACACTGCCCTCCGGCCCCTTACAGGGCCTGCACCTCATCATACATGATTATTCCAATTACGTTCTGAGACTATTGGGCTACAGAGTTTAAGGTGTAAGAATTATACCTTATATGTTGTAGCCATCTATCCAACTAGATCCAGCCCACAGGATATATGAGAGGAGATCTTCGGCAAAGTCTGGGAAGTAGAATGGAGTGAATCTGTTAACTATTGCGTGAGTTACTAGGCTTTCAAAATATGGCAACTTTGGTAAGGGCCGAAAGTAACAGGACATTTTTGCTCAAAGATATGATATCCAATGTTAAAGGATCTCTACAAGAGACCAATACGTTCACACCCATCCTATAATAACTAGAAGAGTCCAGAACTCCCAGAATCACTATGACAGAAGTCATTGGACTTCACAGAGTATTACAACTGGGTCCAAGAATACATTAGAGTTGCAGGCATAATTCCCAGCACTAGAACGATATCTGAAACCCTGTTACCCAAATCAACTAAGAGTTGCTAACTGAGGAATTATCTGCCAATCTGGTAGAATGGCTTCCTGCAAATTAGTTGGAAGTCATCTGGAAGATGCCTATCTGTTGGATCCGGAGCTATGGAGGTTAAAAGTCATGTGACTTAAGAAGGTTGAAAAAATTACTACTATCTCTACAGATACAATTGCAGATGCAACTGATTATTTCATCATTAAGGGAGAGAATTGGAGCCAACTTAGTCTGACTTGAGAACTAGGCCATAAGTCTAATAACTCTGAAGATCAGATAATTACTATTGGGAATAGGATAGTTTCTAGTTAGCAATACTGTAATTACCACAGAGAGTGTGGTGATTTTCTGGATCTCCAAGTACTCATATCTTTGAAGAATACCCGAAGTTGCTGGTTATAACCTGAGAGGTATATAGTTTGTATAATAGATAGATATAGTCCGTGAACATTCAGACGTAGAATATAAAAATTAAAGTGTCTTTTAAGTCTTTAGACATTATCAAGCAATGGAGAAGAGACCTTGACCATATAATATTGTTCCTATGATTTGATTTTACTTTACCTACTTCATCTTACTCTAAGTAGTCATAAATGAAATGAGTATAGTTTGAGCCTTTCTAGATAGTCTCCATCTACAGAATGGAATCTTAGTTGGTCTAGACATCTCTGAGTCTATACAAATTGTCTCCGCATAACATCGTCATATATATGTTCAGTTACCCTGATTTTCTAGCCACCCTTGATTCACGTTCCTGGGAACAACTCTCCTTGATGCATTTCTATGTTTACAGGAAATTAAGAATCTAGAACATAGAACTTAGTACTTAAGAAACTGGTACATGGATACTCCACTGAGCAAAGATGGTCTAGCAGTAGGAACATACAAGTAACTCCTGGAGGCATTTCTGTAATTGGGGGTAGTAGAAACCAGAACATAGACATCAAGCTCAGGGGAAACAAAGATGGCCAGACCACAATTATTTCATACCTTCCCGATTCAGAGTTTCCAGGAAGATAAATCCTTGAAGCATTTGGGTACTTGAGGGAAATTGGAAAACCAGAACATAGACACCTGGCACTTTGAAAACTGGAACATAGACACTCAGCTCAGTTACTTTATAAGTTTCTAATTCAGAGTTTCTGGGAAAATGAAACCTTGAAGTGTTTTGGTCTTTGAGAGAAATTGAGAAACTAGAACATAGACATCTTACACCTCAGAAACTGGAACAGAGATACTTAGCTTAGTTATTTCATACCCTTCCCGATACAGAGTTTCCGGAAAAATTAATTCTTGAAGCATTTCGCTGTTTGAGAAAAATTTGGAAACTAGAATATAGACACCTAGCACTTCAGAAACTGGAACTTAAACACTCAGCCTATTGGAAAAACCATTGCTACCTCAAATCTGCAATAATATGATATCTAACTGGACTGGAATTAACAGGTCCTGAGATAAGAGATATCCAATTTCAGTTGTTCCTAGACAGTTTTTGCTAGTTTATGTGGAATTAGGTAGATGCCCATATATCCATTGCTTCTGAGCCATTTCAGCTAAGTTTAAAATATACAATAAAAGCTTATTTGAGTAATTGTGATACTGTAGGCAAATCCTTGTAGAAGTATTATTACTGTACAGAATATCTCAGTGACCGAGGGGTTGAATATGGTATTATAAGACAATTTATATTTATATTTCTAGTAAATGCTAGGCTATTATTGCTATAAGTTTACCTTAGGGTACAATTTGCAGTATGGAGAGAAAATTCTAGATCCTGTCATACAGAGCCTTAAATAAAAACTTAGTGCAATGTATTCTTTTTACTACTACTCTGAGTGACCCCCTCTCTCTCCAAACAAGGTACTCGTACCAGTATTTTTTTATTTTATTTTATTTTATTTATTATTATTATTATTATTATTATTATTATTATTATTATTATTATTATTATTATTATTATTATTTAATTTTTTTTATCGTCATGTATTTATTGTTAAGGTATAAGAACTCACATGTAGTGCTAGCTATAGTGTAAACAAAACATTAATCTAAAAAACAAATAAAAACAAAAAAGACCAAACTAGTACCTTCAAATAATGCGAACAACCCATATTATAAAGCTCAAAATTGTTAAGGATAAAGGAAAACATTTAAACTAGAAATATGAGAAAAACCTAGCACTAAGGAAAACAAACAAGAAAAAACCTTCTCTTGCAGAATTAAACCAAGGATGAAGAATCCAATGAGGGGGTGGGGCTACTCGTAGG